AAATACCTTGTCTTTTTTCAGACCTGTCTCTGACCAAAATATTTTAATTCCTGACCATTTGATCTATGCTTCTAATGTATTATTGAACTATTACTTATAATAAAATGTTAAAATGCAACACATTACTTATGTACTGTTTAATAAAGACAAGATAGATTGTATGTTAAGAGTCAGTCTGCTTAAATGTCATCTTGCAAGGTTTAAATATGATCAGTCGTGCTATTCTCAAATTATTGACACTTTATCAAAACATACACAACTAGGGTAATTTATCCATTTGTTTATGATAGTTCATACTGATAACACTGTTCATTACTGTAAAATGGAATAATATTTAACAAGTACACTTCTCATGTATCAAATATTTATTTTCTGATATAAATAACTCTTGTCAACTTATTATCATTTCAACATAATGTGTTTCCATACACAAGTGCACTGATAGTGTTATTGCAAATAATATTAACACCACTCAAGGGTCAAGTTTTTCATTTTGTTCTAACTTAATGTTACTCATTACATTAAATAAAAACTTCTACTAATTAAAACTTTTCCTAAAAGTACTCACATTACATTTATTCTGGTTATGGCCCTCAGATTTAGACACAATGAAAAACACTAAGACATCATCCATATTTTAACATGCTAGCACTAAACAATCTCCACAATAATCAATATCTCAATCTCAAGATCACACTGTGGTCTGAGAACCCATAGTTTCAAAACAATAATAAAACTTTTAATCTAATCCTGTCAATATGTGCATCCTCATCTTTACCTTCAATCTTTATTCTTTCCTGTCCTTAGCATCTTATTTGTTACTTTATAAACACGGGGCTATTAATTTTTAGGAATATTTTTGAATAAACTTTCGAAAAACGTAAAATTTTTGTGAGGTAAAATGCTTCAAAAGCCAAAATCAGTTATCTTCTAGGGCATCCTGGAGCGTGCTCACTCTTAAAAGTTTCAATTCAATGAAGCACAACAGTGCAATCTGTACATTTCCTGGTTCAACATGATGCTACATTTGACTTGGATACAGCTTGTCAACCAAATACATTATAGAAAGCTGCTAATTCTACGAAATAAGTAAAATGTTTTTCCAAATGTGTGTGTGAACATGAGAACAGACACATATGCCCGAGATCTAGCTCTCAATAGGCGAATGTTGGTAACACTAGAAATGATAAATATCCCTACTACTTTACTCAGATATGAGATGCATTAAATTATAGATTATTAGATAAACAGGATGTATACAGTTATTCACTGAAGCAAATTTAACTGTTTCCAACAGAGGCCTACATTTGCTGGCATATGCAACGTGTCTCTGCCACTCAGTTCCAAATGCCTAATTTTGACACAAGAAAAATCAAGAAAAACTGGAAAATGTCTATATCAATACTTGGGACCTACAAAAAGCTATGTTTGTACCAAATCCCATATAAATTGGTCAAGATATGACTGATTAATTGACCAAAAACTCCAAAAAGACTCAAAATGGTCAAATCTACCTTTTTTCTATGCCATTGTGTTGGGTACAAATTTATATTTGTGCAGATTTTTATCTTGATTACTGTAAATATGATTGCACAAGAGTATAAAATATATATTTTTGGGTTGTTTGACCTTTGACCCTATAAAATCCTTAAAAAGGCCTAAATAAAAAAATTAAAAAGATGTCTGGGTGTATTGAACCAAGATATAATCCTACCAAGTTTGAAGTCAATCCACCAAGAAATGAAGTATTGGCAGTCGATTCAAAATTGTTTGGAAAAAGCAGAAAAGAAAAAATAATGGAAAAACAGTATGTCTCTCTGCAAAGTCACCAAATAGTACTTTATTCTTGAAAATTCATATCTTCTATGTTATACTTGCTGTCAATGAAACATTCTATACTTTAAAATTTTTCTGAATTTGACTTTTTTCTTAAATTTATCTCCAAATTACTAATATTATACATTGCCATCCATATTCTGCTTTATAAAGATTTTCCTTAACTGTCACTGGTGATTTAGTACCTGTTTCTTGCAACCTACACCTGCCAACAACCTCAATCCAAGTTGTATTTCTGTGATAGATGAGAATATCATGTGTTTTCTACATTCTTTAGTGTTACAGAAATTTTTAAAATTTTCAGCTGTTTAGTTCCTGTACTGTAATGGTGGCTAAGCATTATCCAAGAACTACTAAGATTACCTTGTTCTAGTTGCTTCACTTCTTTGTACTTTATAGAAATACTGAAGTAACATACATAGCATCTGGATTAAAAGGATTGGTATTGTTGTATCCTTTGTGGGCCAGTTATGCAACAGCCAACCAATGTTGTGAGAGAACAG